GTGTGTTTGCGTGGCAAGAAAAAACATGGAAATCCCGACAATCGAAACTCTTCTCGCATTGAAGGACACAAACGAAATAACACGTTATGAATTTTTGAACATGCCATTTCCCCGGTATGTCACTGAACTGGGTTGGGTGTATCGCTGGTGATACACCAGCTCAATTGAGTGTTCTAGCACTGGAGATCGCGTAGTGAGCACGATAATACGGCCTGGCGCTGTACTTCATGAATGCACCGAAAGTTTTGATGAAAAAACACTAACACGCTCTATCGGAAATGTCGTCATTCCACCACATTCAAATTATCAACACGTACGCCAAGAACGCTTCTGGAAGACCTAACAAGACCTGACCGCCGGCTCATTTCGGAAACTACGAATAATTAGCGTGATCGCATAATACGATAATAAGGACGCTCCTACATGACCATTTCCCTTCTCACGGCCCGCCCTGCACTGCGCGTCTTCTCTATCTTGCTTCTGGTTCTGCCACCCATCAGTGTTTAGTTTGCATCGCATAATGTAAAACCAATATCACTTCCGTTTCCCCGCCTTGATACCCGTCCCCGGGCAACCACTGAGTGATGGCTTGCCCTGTGGCGTCCGGACGACCTCCGGTAGCGCTAATCGGCCCATCCCATCTGTGCTTAGGACCGACCGGCGCGCCGTCTCGGACCCCTCCGTCATTTCGCCGGGCCAGCATCCTTCCGGTGCGCCTCTCAACGGGGTGAGACCACACGACGCACAGGATGTTTGCAATTACAGCCGGCGAGACGCCCGGCGTTCCCACGCTCCCGACGGCGCGCGGAGTCGGTGGTGCCATCTATCCACCGCCGGCCGAAGCTGGCACCGTGGGAACGGGCCGCGGCCGCGGCGCAGACCGGTCGGCGCGACGACGGCCGCTGATCCGGCGCCGCCACACTGTTTTTGTAATCAGGCCGCTCTGCGAAATCGGACCGGCCCCGCTGCGGGCTGTCGACGCAGAGGACTCGGGTGCAGGGCCGACCCCGGTCCTCGCCTCCACGGGACCCCCGGAGCCTCGGCAGGTATGGGAGCCGTGCTTTGGATGAAAGCGGGCTGGACGGGGCTACCGGCTTTAAAAGGTAAACCACGATACAGTTTGATTTCCTTTTCGTAGAACGCGCGAGAAATTCTGATTAACAACGGATATTTTATCACCTTAGATAAGCAATGCGTCGTGCCTTTGCGGCCGCACCGTCAAGTCTATCATGACAAAATTAAGCCTAGATTTTCCTAAAACCATGGCTGGAGATCCAGTGGTGGCGGTGGCGGCCTGGGCCCACGCAGTTTGACAAAATCTAACATTAGGCTACAGTGCAAGCCAGATGTTTTGGAACTTAAAATGTTCAAAGAGTTGTCACCCCTGTTCCGAAGACAAATTGTCATCGCTTCTAAAAATACGAGGTCTGTTTACTTCAAAGTGGTTTTAACGATGTTTTGGTGATTTGAGACGAAGGGCGTGCGGCGCCGAGACAAACATCGTGTAAGAAAGGAATAGGGGAGACTTCCACAAAGATCTGCAACGCTTTAACCATGGACGTAACGCTTCGGACTCAAACGTTGTCATAATGTGCAGAGACCAAAACTTCACAAATCTATTGCAACGTAAAGGGATTACTGAGTGCTTGCAAAATACAGCTCGATCGATCAGTGACGTATGCCGTGACATTTGGCATATTTCATGCAGAAATAACTTGTTGCTGGCAGCCCCTGTTCGCGCACTGTCGTGAAACTGCATCTATCAGCAGCCAAGGCACAAAGCACACGCCGAGATTGGTAATGGGAAGCACGCGTACATACGATATCAGCACCATGGGAGTACTTTGAAATTCGTGACGGGCATAACAGTGCAATACAGGAGTATTCCAAGCCATGTGTAGGCATTCCTGGGGCCATCATAGGTCCTCTTCCCTGCAGGTCACACTAGCCGTTCACGAAGCATAGGTGTGTATCGCGTACATATTCTAGCTATTTTGACACCCTATGCTGTTCATTACCAGGTGGCGCACTCACGGGTGGTACTTTTGTATAATTTTGAGAGCTCGAGCCCCCAGAACCAGTAATCTATGGCATTTAGACCACGTGCGGGCACTGCGGCAAATTTACAGGGGCGCATGGAGCGTGTGCCCCCCGCCCGCGAACTCACACAGCCGCAGCCCAGAAGCATGAGGATGTCTGATAAGAACATGACCGCCTAAAGAAGCACATAACCAGAAACATAACGGGTCGTCTTAAATAGAAGAGACTTAACGATGACATAATTATCAAAGCTCTAGAGAAACGATACATACCGTGACAGTGAGCAGGCTATGTGACGTCGGCAAATAAAAAAGCTAGGCAAATGAGAAATATTTAGGTATATATACACATCATAATATCATCACATCATTTGATCGTCATATGTCGATGACCCCGGAAGGATCCGAATTGCTGACAAAGAAGTTACATATCTAGAACGTTGCGGCACGTCTGATCTCAAGGACCGTTTTGCCGGTGCTAACACGGTCACTGTGTGACATCAGGATGTCATACCGACACAAACAATGACAGTAATAGGCCGAGGTTTGAAATCCCCACCACTGAAAGAAGTGGGGTTTACAGTTTGTTTAGGGAAAATATTTGCTAAGCACGGCGGGCATTTCGTTGTGAATGGTAGGGAGAGTCCGGGGCACTCCCCTGGATCCCCAACCACCCGTGCTTTCTGCCACAGCGCTACGGGGCTTTGGCGGGGGCATGGCGTCTAACAGAGCCAGCAGTCAAATTTTCTGCGCTGGTTTGGGTTGGAAAAGCTGTTCATTCCAAGCAAAAGTTGTCCTCGTTCCAGAAAAATAGGGGTGTGTTAAAAAGGCGTGTTAGGTCCAGTTTCATTACAATTGAGTAAAATACGCTATCTTAAAGTATCTGCCCTGAAATGCGCGCATGCCTAAAATTCGTAGGCACCCTTTTGCTTACTTAAGTGCGTAAGCACCTTACAGCTCTTATAAAAGCAACCGGAGAAGCTTCTGAACAGGTCTGAACGCGTTTTGCAGCTTTTTGAGACAATACATTTATTTCGACTGGTGAACGTGCAAGGGATATCACAAATCATGCACCAGTCTTATTAGAACATTTGCGCTTCGTTATGTCATCCTGCTCCGAATCGATTTCACATCGAAACAAGCATTAGCTAAATCAGAGCTTGATCTAACCTTTCCAAATAAAGCTTATAGTTACCTCATGATTTAGCCAATCGGCATGACTGATTCCGACTTCGTCGAAGTCGGATCGACGGGATTTGAATTCAAGGAATGCCGCTAACATGAAGCACTTAAAAGCGCGTAATTTCGCAAAACAGATAATCCCATCGAAACCACCAAGTGGTTTCACTGGCAGAAGGTTCAGGACAGATGAGAACCGTCTGCATTGCATGGATACGTAGAAAGCATTGCAGGGTTCGAAGTGTAAATAGTGCAAATAGTGCAAACACTGCAGGCAGCGCAAACGTTGCATAACAGCTCGAGAACATAGTAACACAGCAAAGAAGCCAGCTTAACTTGATCAAACGGTGCGTAATATTTTCACCGATGCGATTCGATATGATGGGCTATTACCTCGTTTTTTGCCCATCTTCAGAACGTGACTGCAATATCCAGAAAAGCGGCTGCTACGCCATCAACATCTCACGTTCCCTCCTGAGCGAAGGAGCCTGACAATAATCTCAGCTGCAGTCAAGTTAAAAATATTAATCCATTACCAACACTAATCGCAAAGAAAGATTGATTCAAATCTTGAATCAAGCCATCAGATTCAAATCAGACTCGGGCGAGTGTGGGAACGACACGGCACATGTGGGGGTCAGGTTAAATCCCACAAGTCCTCCGCCGGAGTCTGGACGGTGACACCACCAGCGCACTTGCTTGGCGTAGCACTTATTCCACGAATGACATCCGCGGTATACCGCTACGGTCCGACGTCACGTCACAAGGCCGCGTCACACTGTCAAGCAGGCCCTACCTCCCCTCCGGCCTCCGTGCGGCAGAACCTGCGTTCCCACCGTCATAGCCTGAGCGCTGCCACCCACGAGGGATGGCGTGTGGCGCCATCAGCTGGTGTGGCGCGGACGCGCCGGGCCGCGGCAGCCGCACAGCGGCGGCGGCGGCGGGGGAGCGGCGCCGCCGGCAGCTGCCGACGGCACGCGGCCGTTTGAATGTCGGCGGCGCGTGCCGCGCGTCAGTAACGGCCAGCGGGTGGCCGGCGCGGCAGCCGCCGTGTGGCCGGCGGCGCGGGCGGCGGAGAGACGGTAGCCGCGCGCGAGGCGTGCTAGAGCGGAGGGGGAGGGGAGACAGTTATTCTTTGAGATAGGTGGACTTCGAGTGCATGCATTGCTGAATCAACTTGTGGCAGCCGGTCCAGATTGCCGGCCTGTAACGTGATGCGTGGTAGCGCTCAGAGCGGCCTGGCCGCTGAATGGTCTGTTCGTTTTGGCAGAGTGCAACAGAATGCACGAGACCGGATGTTCAACAGGCAACGTGGTTAGTTTAGCATTCATTGCGATATAGCCGTAGGGAGGAGTAAAAATTTTTCTGCAATCCATCTCAGGGGCTGGGCATGGGTTCTGGGTAGATAAAATCACGTTGCAGCTGGTGAGAATAGCCCGATGTTATGGATAACCTGAAAACTTTCGACGTTCCATCCAAGGTCGTGACTCACCAATGTGGTTTACTTAATCAGCTTGGGGTTGAGCCTGCTGAGCACCGAACGTAACCCAAATCTGTCCCAAACCTGAAAACTACGAATATGACCCGCTTCATACTCGGGGTCCAGGTCAACTCTGCCCAGGGCGACCTGCCGCAAAGCTGAGGAGAGTCCTGGACCGAGTTGATGGGCCTTGCAGCCCCAGATATAGGAGGGCTGAGCAAGCAAACTGCAAGCAGCGGCGCGCTGCTTGCAGTTTCCGGCTTTCCTGAGCAGACCACGTACGGCCGCGGCGTAGCCCTCTCATGGCTAAGGTTGTGCAATACAGACAGCAGGAGCGCGACCTGCTCATGGCTGAGGTGAAATACAGACAGCACGAGTGCAGCCCGCTCACGTCTGAGAAGAAATACAGACAGCAGGAGCGCGGCACGCTCATGTCTGAGGTGAGATACAGACAGCAGGATCACGGCCCGCTCATGGCTGAGGTGAAATACAGACAGCAGGAGCGCGGCCCGCTCATGCCCGAGGTGAAATACAGGCAGCAGGAGCGCAGCCCGCTCATGGCTGAGGTGAAATACAGACAGCAGGAACGCGGCCCGCTCATGGCTGAGGTGAAATACAGGCAGCAGGAGCGCGGCCCGCTCATGTCTGAGGTGAAATACAGACAGCAGGAGCGCGGCCCGCTCGTGTCTGAGGTGAAATACAGACAGCAGGGGTGCAGCCTGCTCATGGCTGAGGTGAAATACAGACATTAGGAGCGCAGCCCGCTCATGGCTGAGACTATCAAACACAGAAAGGTCCATATGGCACTAGAGGCGCCCCGTTCAATTTCGAGATAACGGAGAACGCGTTCTTCAAGGATGGTGGGAGGCAGGGCGGACTGCAGATGGGAGACGGCCCCCGTCTCTGGACATGCTAACATCCACCTCATGACGCACGTGGTGTATAGCGACATAGGACTCGCGTTCGTCCCCTCCCTCTCCTCACCCTCAGGAGAGACGTCGATACAGCCCTGGTCACCTTACTAAGAGAGCCCATCTCGATAGCATGTATTCTAATAAGCGTTTGACATAAGACCGTTTGCCAATCGTTATACTGCGTTCCGAATTCCTATCATAGCTGACGCAGGGCTTGACAAATCACGAACGTTGCCTGTCGTCCATTCCGGAAAGTCAGAGAAATACCGAGTTTACCGTCCACGTGTTATGAATTATCGTAGTACTTCCACGAACGACCAAACTGCGAAGAGTGCGCCCATGGTGAATACAGATGATGACATATCTCAAACAAACAGCCCGCGTGGCACTGGCGAACCGCTCTAGATCAAACCCGTGGCGAGGCGTCGCCGGGAGACGAGCCCCCCTCCCCCCCCCCCACTCCTCTCCCGCCCGGCGCCCCGCTCCATCACCCGTCACCAGGCACACCAACACCCTCCCCGCCCCCGCTGCGCCGCGCGCCCCAACACATACCGGGCGGCGGCGCACCTGAGCCGGCCACCTACCGTCATGCTCCCACGCTGCCGGCGGCTTTCCCACGGTGCGGCGCGCGCACACGGCCGGGCGACGGGGCAGCACCGCTGAGTCACACGGCTGCGGGCGGCGCGTCCACCTCCGAGCGACACCGGCACCCGACTAACGAGCGGCGGAGGGCGCCGCGGCCGGCCGCCGCGCCAGCGGACGTCCGGGCTCTGCTGCTGCGGGAGCGGGGCACCGGAGCAGGGACTGGGGTACGACAGCGGGGGGTGAGGGACCGGGGTACAGCGGCTGGGGCGGAGCCAGGGGCGGCAGAATAAGAGGGTACTGGAGCAGCGGCTTGCGGGGCCGGTGCGCGGCAGCAGGGGATGAAGCGGCAGAGGCGCGGTAGCGGAGCATGCGTGGCAGAGGGTGTCTGTTGAGGCGGGGGGACGGAAGTGGAGCGAAGAGAGGAGTAACAACAGCCGCGGGACAGCGCCAGGAGCAGAGTAACAACAGCCGCTCACGGCTTGCCGCCCGGCCACTTCACTCGTCGGGTCGAAAGATGTTGACTTTCAGTTTCAGCTAACGGCGACTCAGCGATTGAATCGCAGCCATTCTGATCGCCATTCAGCCATGATCCAACCTATGCAGAGACTCGATGACAGCAGACATTCGTCTATATGCTTTATTTTGATTTCATGGATGACTCCTAACCTCTCAAAATTAGGCAAATGGCTCCAGCCAGCGACGTAAACAAACCTCGTAGAAGTTCCAATGCACACAGAAGGTGCCAATGCTTGCCACCTTACACTTTCGGCTGGTGCCTGGGTTTTCCGCCACAAGGCAAGCGTTTTTTTCTGGTCCAATCAACCAGCTACACGACTCTACGAGAGCGTGCGAAATGTCGTGGTAAATGAGCAGCAGCCTTAACTTGCAAAGTTATCCCTTTCGTCACAAGCTTAGCCAAGTGAGGTCACATCGTTGAAACGTCACGTTTTCAGGTCATGTCGCCATAGGCCACCATCCTGAAAAGCGTCCGCTGCCGCACTACCCATGTCGTTTTCTAATTCAATTAATGATGCTAAACAGTGTAATCACGCTACCGCCTCGGCCAATTTGTACGATTCGGCGCACGCAAACGCGTATCATGATTCCGGGTGGAGTAGGGTCTCTGACTACGCATCAACCTCACCGCTTTTTAACGAATCAGGAAGCTGTATGCGAAAGGAAATGCATGCGTGTATGCATGCATGAGTGTATGTATGTATGAGCGTGTATGTGTTTTTGTGTACGTGTGTATGTTTGCATGTATGCAGGCAGTTTTACCAGTATGCATTACATATTGTCGAAAAAGCGGTTTAGGACAATCGTCAAGGTAAATAAGACGAACAGCAAGGTGAAATTGGAAATAATCATGCGATAAACCACACAGCTTTGCTCACAACAGGATAAATCAAGCACCGATAGCGAAAGAAAAACTAGGAGACAGCTGATCTTGACTTATCCGGCACGCGCACTCCAGAAATAGTCCTCCGTGTTGTGCTCGTGCCTTGTTCGCGACGACTAGGCCAGATGGCGCCGGCTCGGTACTACAGGACGCGCCCGACCAGCTCCGTTGTAACCGCCGGCGAGCTCAGCTCGACAGCTCGGTTCTGGCTCGTCTCTGGCTCCTCTCACAGCCGAGACACCAGAACGTGAGCTGAGGACACTACCTGGTGCACGAGCTCGGCCTGTTTGTGCGCTGGGACGCCGCCCGCAGACCGTCGGACAAGTATTTTCAACGCGGGGCTGGTTCGATATATGAAAGGTGACTTCGTAGCCAGCCAGGTTGCCTTGTTTAACACAGTTTGTTTAAATGTCTGTCGTTGGTTTGCACACATACCGCCACAGTAAGCTGAGGTTAGCTAAATAGGGGAGACCTACGTTTGCATCAGCCAACCAGACACAGTTGGCGACACGGATCAGGACAAGGATCGACATGTTTTGAGATTGGAAACAACATTTTTGGGAGGTTTTCGGTATGATTTGTCTCAGTCAGATTCTCTCCCACCGTGGCCCCCAAATATTTCAGACAACTCGATGTCTCATTTGAGCCGCTCTGAGTCAGTCAGATGTCTGGCGATTAGCGCTGTGCCTCAGGTGTGCAAAGTAACTTAAGCCTTTTAATTGTTCAGCACCTTGATCGTTTTAGGATGTCACTGAAGCCAGCCGGAAGCTTATGCGTGACGCGTTGCTTTCTCACTATGCTTTGACTTTCCCGTGGTACAGCCGTTACAGAGGCTTTCTCAGTATGTTTTGACTGTCCCGTGGTACAGCTGTTGCAGAGCCCTGGCTGACCAGCATTACCTGCACGCAGTCTAGCTTATCAACAATGTGAATGCAAATGCAAACTGCGATTCTGATATCAAAGTCACTTTTAATTCAAATCAATCTCGAACAGTGGAGTTGCGGCCGCATTTAGATCTTATCGTCGAAGGCAATGCTGCGGTCTTCCAACAATATCCAACATTGTCACAATTGAAGTACCGCTGGCATATAATCTAAATGCCACTGGTATATAATTGACGCACCACTGGTACTTTATTTATCCGGTACTGGGGTGCAGGGCCCTCGGTGAATGGCCTTCGCCGCCCACTGAGCCAATCACAAACGTTCCTTTAATTGTCGTCAGGGATGTCAGTGTTAAAAATCAGTTGGAGGAACTGAGCTTATAATGCTGATCTAACTTGCCTTCAAATCCTGATTTCTCCCCGGGCTTCGGCCACTACGATTGCGTCCCTGATGTCGACTGAGAATAAAATGCATTTAGATGGTTTCAAAATTGTTTTATGTTGGAAAATGACCTCCCACTTGAAGGCGATGTCGCAATGATAATGATGATATTGATAGGGGTGCGGTTAGATACCTAGCATGCCACCAGTTCCGACACTTGCTGCATTTCATTGGACCAGTTTTCCCTTTTTGCACATATACATTGGGTGATGAGATGAACATTGAGCGGGTTCAGGTCAGCGTTGGGGGCTTAAGGCTCTTCCCCTCGAAAACATGGAAAGCAACAGGCCTGAATGACGTAATTAATACCAGCACATGTTCCACTTTTATGTCCGCAGGCCCGCAATGCGTGGGATAAAACAGCTCAAAAGTGGCGCTTCTACCTCATAATAGCTGGCAACGGCCCTTAGCAGCTAATGCCGTCGTCATGACGACGGCAGGCGCGACAACTGCAGTCGTCACGAACTAGGGCTTCAGTCTGGGGCTACCAAGGGAGGAAGAAGTGTATGCTCTAACAAAACGTTGACAGCTTGATTTGGTCTGAAAAATCATCAAAATTAATCTCCTCACTATGTATTGACAGTGCAGCTGTGGCACCACCCAGTGCTATCATTAGACGTAACTGATCCTGAAGTTTTACCAAAGCATGCTTTTAAAATATGCTCCAAAGGTGGACACACCCTTTAACCATCGAGGAGCAGATATTTTATCGGAGACCTTTGGACGTCGCGGGACACACTGATTGCTCAGGGCACGTTGCTGTCCTGAACGCTGCTCTGTTCGAGTACCAATGGTCCTTTTTTGCTCATTGCTTGTTTCGTTATCGTGATGTTTTTTGGCGTTCTCTCGTGACAATCAGATCGCCTGCGAGGTAATTTAGACTTTATTCCTCAATGACTCCTTTCCCTTCAATTGGGGGAAGGGATCCGGGATCTCTTCAATCGCTCAATATTGCTTCGTGCTCCAAGACAATTTCAAATCTATCGAATTTTTATGCCACCCAATCTCCTGCTACCTCCCGCTAAGAGCGTGCGCACACGTAAACTACCCGGGTCACATGACCTGTCCCCTCACCAAAGCCATGGCATGTATTGATATGCACGTGACCAAATGTTGGCCGTTTAATTTCCAGGCCCCCATGTGAAAATGGGAACATTGAGAGCGAGCGACATTGTTTTACGACCAGCAAGAAATTGCCCGCGTCTGCGGCGCGATGAACTCGGAGTTCAGCGAAAATGTTTGGATTGTGCCCATCACGAGCGTATCCAGGATTTCGTCAAGGGGACCACGCAGGATTGCGGGCCCCCAGAGTTTGGGACCCATCCAAAAACTACTCGTATTCCTGCCACTAAATCCTGAGATGAAAAGTACATGTAGATATACATAAGTCTATATAAGTATATATATATATATATATATATATATATATATATATATGTAAGTATATATGTATATAAAAGTATATATGTACATAAGTCTATATAAGTATATATGTATAAGTATATATACATAAGTATATACAAAAGCAT